TGTTTGAGGAAGCTCCCATTTATTAACATTTCAACAAACAAGTTGCATATTTGCATAACGTATTCAAGTGTTACCATTTAGTGCAATAGTAGCTACAGAACATGTACTGTGCTGTGTAAACTGTACTGTATCACATAGCGTTTCAGACACACAAACTTTTCAACTTTCAAACTTAAACGGTGCGCTCCCAGCGCACGTACCAGCAGTGATCTACAGCAGTGGTTTTCAACCAGTGGTACGGGGACAAACTGTCTCGCTCTCGTAATGTCTGTCTGTCTTGCTCTCGTTCTGTCTCTCGTACCACTCTCGGTTCCACTTTTACTTTTGCGCGCTACCTGTCTCACTCTTTTCCGGCCTCCAGCTTTTCCTGCTGGAGCCCGCCGCTTAAAGGTGGGGGGCGCGGACCGGCCATAGAGCCCATAGAGTTAAAGGTGGTGGACTGTAACCTGTAAAATCCATAGATTTAGGAGGTCCCCTAGTGGCCGTTAGCTGTAAAAATCCATAGATTAGCCGCACCGTTATATAAGCCGCAGGGTGGAAAAATGGGAAAAAAGGCGCGGCTTATAGTCCGAAAATTACGGTAGTTCGGAGTGTAATAATCAACATTCTTTATCAGCGAGACTAAAGCAATATGGACCCTGAATCTAACTAGAGCTCTCGTCCATAGGAAAGAATGTGCGCCAGGGAACCTTCGTCCCTGAACAGTAAACTACCTCATGGCGGCTTGTGCTCTGTCATAGACTGGCAACAACAATGTGCCCAAGCTGCTCCCCCTTAAGAGAGATAGCAGCGATACCCAAGTTCGTAGACCTATGCCGTGGGAAAGGAGACAGTGAGAAGAGAAAACGATGAACTTTGTCAAAGGTTGAATACCTAGGCAAATTATTCCCTAACCCTTACAATACCGTTTTAGTCCTCGGTGGCTCAAACTCCAAAAACAACCGGTTAAGCTCTAGTGATACTAATGGCTAGTTCAACATGATAAATCAGTGGCGTGCCCGTTTTAAAACTGAAAAGCCATGGGATGATTTGGGAAATGTTTGTTAGCAAGTCTAACCCCGATGTTGTAAGCTTTGACTTTTGCCATTTTAAACGAGGTCCAAAAAAGTTATTTTATTTGGTTTTCTGTTTGTTTACGTATAATAGTATTGCATATTATGTTTGTTTTCATTTCAATCGAAAGGAAAATCCTTGCAGTCAAATGTTTTTCTTAACTTCTCATTAGAGAGTTAAAATATATAGCATAAGCAAATATTTTGGCAGCAGGTCTCAAGCCTTGGAAAATCCCCAAATATTTCTCACTGAAGCTACAAAACCCCCAACAAATGGTATTCTGGATAACACAAGTTATCAGGAATTTTACACATGCGGAGTTTGCTGTGACTGCGAAAATCTGAGACAAAACTGTCTTAGTGACAAAAAGGACAAAGACAAATTTTGTGTGTGTGATCCAGCTATAAACATGTTGCATTGTGGTCTGAGAGCTTCTCAATGACCCTCTGTCTATCTGACTGATGTCACTCTTACTGAAGTGAAGTGTGTGTTGGCTGACTATTTAGCATGTGCACACGGTGGCCCACGTGCACATGCTAAACATGCTTCTGTATATTTATGCATGTGATCTCACCACATATCTGCATATCTGTCCCGTCTTCTGCAGGCACATCGGTCACGTGGGCTGGGATCCAAACACGGGATTTGATGTAAGTCAAACA